GGGGGGAGGAAACGGCCACCAGTCGCGCCGGGGGAGGTCTGGATGGGAGAAGAGGAAGAATTCCTTCCCCAAAAGGGCCGTCGGGCGCTGGAGCGGGCTGTCCGGGGAAGGGCTCGCGTCACCAGCCCTGGAGGGACCTAAAGGACGCGCAGAGGTGGCGCTGGGGGACACGGTCGGGAATTTTAGGTTAACGATAGGACTCCGTGGTCTTAAAGGTCTTTTCCAACCTCAACGAGTCTCTGATTCCCCCATCCCTTGATTCCACGATTCCCCAAATTCTCCAATTTCTGGCCAAAAAAGCAAAGCAACCCGGGGAGGAAAAGGCCAGCGAGGGGAGGAGGATGAAATGCCGGCACCAAGCTGACGGGAGGGCCGGGTTCCATCCCACTTTCTCACCTCTTCCACCTCCAGATCGATGCACCAGATGACTAAGTAATTAGCCGTCTCCTCGCAAACGAGGTGCGGGTTATCAGAGAGATATTTCTGGCTGTCGTCCCAGCGCCGCAGCATCCCTTCAAAGCAGGGCAGCCTCAGTTAGCAGAGGAAGGTTTTTCCGCTCATTAAAAAAAGAACAGCCTCTAAATCTCGTCAGTAAAAAAGGAAAGGGAGAGAAGGGGAGGGCACGGGGTGGTGGGAGAGATGATTCATCGCAAGGTTTAATGAAGAAACCCCCCCCAGATTGCGATTAACGATGGCAGAGCACGAAGCTTCGCCTCGGCTGGGCAAGTAGGCAAAAAAATCCTGAGAAAAATAAATCAAATCGTCGAAAAATAAATCAAACCGTCGAAAAATAAATCAAACCGTCGAAAAATAAATCAAACCGTCGAAAAATAAATCAAACCGTCGAAAAATAAATCAAATTGTCGAAAAATAAATCAAATTGTCGAAAAATAAATCAAATTGTCAAGTGTTCACTGGAGCAAAGGACTTCCCGGCACTGTCCCCGGCTCACCAACCCCCCCAGGAAGGGGGTACCGACCCCCCCTCAACCCCTCCCCAGCACTCACCGAAGTGTTTGATCTGTTTCTCGTATCTCTCCACAAAAGTTTTGTGTTTCTTCTCTTTCTGTTCCTCCGTTTCCTCCTTCTCCTCCGGTTTGACGTTGAAGACACTCTGGGGAGCAGAAGGAGGTGAGCCGCCCGCCCGGCGCCACGTAGGGGGGAACCACAGTTGGGGGGTTCCCCCAAACCCACCTTGCTGAAACCATCTTTGCTGAGGGTGTCCACATTCCAGGGCATGTTCTTCTCCTTCTTTTTCAGCTCCTCCAATTTATTCTCCCAGCTTTTCTCTTCGTTCTTCAGCTGCTGGGCTTCGGCCTGGAGTTTTTCCAGCTCCCCCTTCCCGCTTTCCGGATCCGCCACCTCCAGGTCCTTCATTTTCTTCTGGCACTCGGCGAGTTTCCGTTTGCATTCCCTGCATCCTTTATCCAGCTCTTCTTTTTCTTTCTGGAATTGCTCCATCCTCTCCAAGGGCTGGTCTTTCAGCATGTTCCCCAGCTGACAAATGCAAGGGAAAAGTGGGGCCCTACCTCTGGGATGCTCGTTAGCAGCGCTCCAGGAAGCCGGACACACTCTCCTGGATCTGTTATCCCCGTGGAATAGAGTGAAGCGCTATGAGGGGGAGACCGACACCACCAAAACGCCCGAATTTAGAGAAAAAAAAATAAAATCAAGTCCCTCCACGCAGCTTTGGTGGGGAAGAGCTGGGGCAGCAGCTTCATTCCCTCCTCTTCGGCCAAATTGGGGCTGAATCTGGAATTCTGCGGCTTCCAAGTCCCGAAGGATCCACCCTGCCCCGGCTCCCGGAAACCGTGGGGCCACAAAGTGTCCCCCCCTCAAGTTTAATCCCCCCTCTCCGAGAAGTCGAGGGGGTACCAAAGCCCAGCCCGCTCCCCCAGCCCCAGGTAGGGGACAGTCCCTGGGTCTGCGGGGACACGGGGAGGGGGTCCAGGGGGGGGGTGGGGCTGCCCCGGCCCCCAAAGGGCCCAGGAGCCCCCCAGCACCCAACACCAGCCCCCCAGGGAGGGGGGAGGAGGGGAGGAAGGGGCTGTGCCCGCCGTGGGAGCCTCCAGGGGAACCCAAAGACCCCAGACAAGGAGGGGGGAGGACAGGCTGCCATGGAAATAGGGGAGCCCCCTCCCACGGGGGCCCCTCGACTTGGCTGCTATGGGAATAAAAGAGAGTGTGCCCCCCCCCAAAATGCGGGGGGCCCTGGAGGGATCGGGGGGGGCACAGGGAAGTAGTTGCTATGGGGATGGGGCAGCCCCCCCGGGGTGTGCTCGAAGCCGGGTGGCCTAAG